AGAACAGACACTTCCTATAGAAAACATGTTTAGAGAAGATTTGATATGGTTCATTAGAACTCAGTACTTGTTGCTATAGTTCTGTGCCTCTCCTGAGCTGCAAATCTCTTTGCTTCTGGAGAGGTGGAAGAGAGTAGGCTGCCTGCTCTCCATAGGTCTCCTCTCACAGTTCAAGTAAGAATGCATGAGGATCAGAAATGTCCTTATTTCTTTCTTTCCTTCCTTCTTTCTTTCTTTCCTTCCTTCCTTCCTTCCTTCCTTCCTTCCTTCCTTCCTTCCTTCTTTTTCCTTCTTTCTCTTTCTTTCTCTCTTTCTTTTCTTGGTGGAGATGGGTGAATGGGATCCTAGCAGCAGCATTCAGGGTCACTTACATTGGTCCTTGACACCAGCCTTACAGGTCCCATGATTTAGTGCTCTGTCCGAGCAATGTGGAAATTCTTGGACCCAGCGGTGCTGGGGTCAATCAGGGTTATACTTGGCAGCACTCATGGGAGCCTCACTCCTAAGTACCAATGCATCTTTTTCTAATCTCTGTCTCACACCAGAATGGACTCCAAATTACATCAGACCCCCTGATAGGTATCAGGATCAACCTGGGCTGACAAGCACCATACAACATTCCAAGGCATAGCAAGTAAAACCTCCAGTAAGACCAAATCAATGTGGAAGATACATGCTAGAAACACTAAGAACTACCACCCAGTGCCAAGCTAGGAAGAAGGGATCTCTGTAATTAAGGAAGAGCAGGTGAGCATCTTGCACGTATTGCTGTGACTAAGAATCAGCTAAGCTGCATTCAGAAATATGAGATGGACAGTAATCCCTTTGTATCACATGATAGACTCTGCTCATGAAGGTGGAATGAAAACACCTTAGGAGACAACATTCTTAAAGAAATTATCTAGGAATTCTAATTGTAACTCCAGAGCATAAAATTTTATAAGAACATCTGACTCCAAAGATATTCAAGACCAGTGCAATGATGGCTAGGGTGTCAGCCTTGTGCATCATAACCAATCCCTGGTTTGATCCCTGACATCTCATATGGTCCCTGAAGCACTACCACCAGGAATAATTTCTGAGTGCAGAGCCAGGAGTAACCCCCTGGAATCACAGGATGTGGGCCCCTAAACTAACAAAATAATAATAATAATAATTTTTAATTAAAAAATAAAAAACTAAAAATTGCATTCCCTAAATCTCAAATACAACTCAGATCAATACATGTAACAGCAATAAAAATGAGAAATGTATGTTAGTAGTAGTAAAAGGTATGTGGGTTGAGCCCCAGGTTCCTCTGCTTCCCAGACTAGTTTCCTCCCTGGCAAGTGACTGAACCAGATTTCCACTTAGTTATGAAACTTCCCTAGTTTCACCCCAATGGTGAACACCTGGATGACATCCGCTCTGCTGATTCCTTCCCATGCCTGTCACTATACAGCTTCCCCAGAAGAAAGATTTTAAATGGAAACTATAAAAAGAGAACTGAGAATGCCTCGACCAGGTCTTAAGCCTCTAGTTATTACCTTTTCTTTAGACCATAAACCAGTGCTTTAATTTTCTGGCAAATGATTTTGTTTTTTTTTCCTCATCACACATTCTCCTTGTTCAATAGAATACTGATGGCATAAAGAACTTGTTCGATAGACTCCTTGATGCTTGTGATTGGCATACCCAATATGTAGACTCTTAGACTTTATGAGTAACCCCTGACAGGTACAAGAAATCTTTGGGTCCCTTCTATCATAATTCCTTCATTAGATTTTCAGTAGAAGCATCAAAGGGTAAATAGATTGAAATTTTAAAAAAACTACAAGTGGAATTGAAAAAGTTCGCTGTAAATAATTTTGACTGTCGATGAGGTTGATGAAGAGTAGATATTTAAAATTTGCTGTTGATGAATTGAATATTTCCCACCATTAGGTCACATGATTGAGAGCAGACTTTATTTCACATGTGTTTTAAGTAGGTGACTTCCAGTAACTTGAGAAATTCTAATACCATACAAGGATGCTCAACTGTTCCTGTGTTACCCTAGCCATTCTAACTCTCAGCTGCAGATTTCAGAGTTTTGGAAGATGTTAACTATGGGTAACCTGAACAAAAAACTCAGCATTTGGGAGCCTTAATTAGATGTCAGAGGCTAGTACATTGTCCTTTGCTTGTCCCCAAATTTCTTTTTTCAGATAGAGTGAGCTTCCAGGCCTTGTCTTTGGAATACCTCCATAAATCTGACCATCACACCTGCAAAGCATTTTCCCTATTTGAGGTCTTCATCCAGCACATGCTCTCAGAGGTTTCTAAGGAGGGTCAGGTTAAGGTCACTAGCAGCACACGATTCGGAAGCAGCATAGGGGTGACCTGGTCCCGGTTATGTAACTTCTGCTCAATTTTCATTCCCATATGACTCCCAAAGCTGTGTGAAAATCTGCTCTTGCTGTGCTCATTATTAGAATCCAGAACTGTAAGGTACGTTGGAGGCAGCCTACACCTTCCGGGTTTTCAGATTGTAAAGGAACCCCTTCCCATCCTGCCTGTTCTCAGCTTTTCTCATCCGTGTGCTTATGAGACTGTGTGAGGGCACTTGTCCCACTTTGATTTAATCTCCTTAAGAAGGTAATTTATATATTTCATGGAGATGAGATTAGGCTTCTGATGATCTGATTATCAAAAATGCAAGACATGTTTCTTGCCTACATGATGCAGAGCGATGTATGAACCTTTGGGAGGCTCAGAAATAAGAGCTAAGCCCGTATCCTATTTGAGGCAAATGAATAAAAGACAGTGCTATGATTAAGAAAGTGGTGAAGTAAATTACATCCATAGGCAGCATGGTGAGAAAGTAAAGAGTTTCTTAAAATATTGATTACTGTCATGCCTCCCAGGTATAGGTTTGATGGTGATTTTAGGAACACGGAGACCCCATATCATTTTTCATTCATGCCTTTCATTAATTTTCTGCTTTCTCAAAGTCTTCAGGATGATAACATATATCATAGGAGAATGTAAAGAGAAAATCATAAAAATTATCTTAAGCTTACTTTGCTTTCTTTCTTGGCTCAACTTTCAAAATGCTTCAGGATGCTATTTGTATGTTCTTATTTTCAAATCATAATTTTTCATTGTATCTGATGGTTGGCTCTTTATTAGTTGTATGGTACTGGCTATCAAAATTGCCAGTCACTCTGTAGAGATGGTATAGTACATATATCTAGAGGTTGCATCTTTAATCACTGTTCACAAATATAAAAACCAAAGCACGTACATTGAGAGGGGAATATGACTTCTATGTTTTCAGAATGGTGTTAGGGTAGGCTTGTCTTCAATTCTTAAGAGTTTGGAACCTAGAGCAAATGGTGAGGGTATATTTGAGGTGAATGCTTCCACAGAATTTCTGATTGAATTCACTGGTTCTTTTTTCTTCTTGAGACCCTTTGGCATTGCCTTTGTCCATACGCTAAGGAAAATAATTTTTGAATTATCCAGAATAGAGAAAAATGCCATGCAATTTGCAATGTTCTCTATAAAACCTATAGCAAATTTTATGGTGATGTGTGGAAAGATGCATTAGGGTTTTTTTTACACAGGTTGATTTGATGTGTGAGTCAGCAAGGATGTTGCTTTCTTTTATTGATATATTATTATACATTCTCTAATTAGAAAAAAATTACCCTTCCTGATGGGGCCTCATGAAGTCCTTAACACAAGTACCTGAGTGGCCAGGCTAAGACTCGATGACGCTTAGTCAACAGCTATTTTCCATTAATCAATATACCTCATTTCTTCAGCCCATTAATAATCTCTAAACACAATTTTTCACTCTGACTTTTGACTCATAAAACAGAAACAAAGAGCAGATGTGATAGTGGTCTGAAGTTAACCAAATCCAGTCTTGTGGGGAGAAGGATACATTTGATGATTCATTTCTTATCATGTGTTTGCTATAATGGACATGAGTTATGGAGCACAGTAAAGAGTGATGCAGAGCACAAATAGTTCTTTAGTTAAACAAATGTTCTTCTGATGAAACATAGGGGTTTTAGGTCATGTGTAACATGGTCTTTTTCAAATACATTGTCCTAAGTAAATTGGATATGATATTTTACCTTATTCACACATCATTTCAACCAATTCACCCACATTTTCCTAAGGCTGTGAGGTGGATGAATATAAAATTGCCTGTAGCAGATTAACTTCTGTATTGTCTGTATTCCTTGGCTGCACCAACTCATCTAATCACGGTTTTTATAGGCATTGGGTCATTGTGTACTTTTTCTCTCACTTTTTCACAGCTGCTGAGACACAGATTTAGAAACACAATTAATCAAATTTAGTTTCTGAACTTTTACTTTAGCATTCCTGTTGCTGCACGATGTCTCCTGATAAATTGTCTCTAAGGTACAAAATTCGAAATAATTTTACTTCATCCCAAACATGCGCTTCTGATACGGAATGCCTGAAGTGGGGGGCTTCCCTGCATGATTCCTCAAGAACCTCAGGCTTTCTTCCTTGTTGCCTAAGCATCACTGTGAAAACAAACAATTTAGAAGCAATTGCTGTGAACATCTGTTTGAGAGTTGGCAACAAGCAAAGTTCATGAACTCCTAGAAAGCCTAGTAATATGATGAATATAATTAAAATGCATCTGGTTGGGCTATAAACAAATAAAGCCAATAAAGAAAATAAGATTCGTAAAACTTAGAAGTCACGAAAAATTAATATTTTTAAATTATATTTACCATATATGCATTTCTATTCTAAAATGGATTAAAGAAGTTAGTAGTGTATGGATGTTTTTTAGATGACCTCCTCTTAACGCATCATTTTCTTTAAGCCAATCCTGTCCACAGAGCCACAAGTGGGACTTGAGGTTCTATTATACAATGAACAGGTTTGACAGGCCGTTGACTTGCTAGCCATGCTATTGCCACTAAACTTCAAGTTCTAGCCATTTTTTTCTTTTCTTTTCTTTTTTGTCCTTTTTTTTATTTTCTTTGCAGAAGACCATCAAATGAATTGTCACAATGCTCGAATCATGCAAGACTCTGAGAAGGATGACAACAATAATGATGAGTATGACAACTATGATGAGCTGGTGGCCAAGTCCCTGCTCAATCTGGGCAAGATTGCTGAGGATGCAGCCTACCGGGCCCGGACTGAGTCAGAAATGAACAGCAATACCTCCAATAGTCTGGAAGATGACAGTGACAAAAATGAAAACCTGGGTCGGAAAAGCGAATTGAGTCTAGACCTCGACAGCGATGTGGTGAGAGAAACCGTGGACTCCCTCAAATTGTTAGCACAAGGGCACGGTGTGGTGCTCACAGAAAACATGAATGACAGAAGTTATGCTGACTCCATGTCTCAGCAAGACAACCGGAACATGAATTATGTCATGTTAGGAAAGCCTATGAACAATGGTCTCATGGAGAAGATGGTGGAGGAGAGCGATGAGGAGGTGTGCCTAAGCAGCCTGGAGTGCTTGAGGAACCAGTGTTTTGACCTGGCCAGGAAACTGAGCGAGACCAACCCGCAGGAGAGGAGCCAGCAGCAGAACATGAACATCCGCCAGCACGGCCGGCAAGAGGACGACTTCCCAGGAAGGACGCCGGACAGGAACTACTCGGACATGATGAACCTGATGAGGCTGGAGGAGCAGTTGAGTCCCAGATCTAGAACTTTCTCCAGCTGTGCTAAGGAGGATGGGTATCACGAAAGAGATGATGACACCACTTCTGTGAACTCGGACAGGTCTGAGGAAGTGTTTGACATGACCAAGGGAAACTTAACTCTCCTTGAGAAAGCCATTGCTTTGGAAACTGAGAGAGCAAAGGCCATGAGGGAGAAAATGGCAATGGAAGCCGGCAGGCGGGACACTATGAGGTCCTATGAGGAGCAGTCTCCAAGACAACTCCCTGGGGATGAGAGAAAGCCTAAATCCAGTGACAGCCATGTCAAAAAGCCATACTATGGTAAAGGTAATATTTCTACCTAACGTAAGTTGACTCATGAAAACATGAGCTAAAGTAAGAGATATTCATTGTAGTCTCCAATGAAAGTATACAACACACTAAACTATACCTCTAATGCATATTTCTTAGGATTAATTCCAGAATAATATTTGGTGCTATGTGTCTGAAAAGCAAATGAGATATTTGTCTGGGAAGTAAACCAAAATAGTTCAATGTCATATTATCAGAGCAGGTGAATAATCTTTTAGCGGGAAATTCACGCCTTGGAAAGATAGGGTTAGAGCAGAAACACATGTGATAGAAAATCTTGGCTGTACCTGAGCTTTTATAAATGAACTGCTATCTATTCTGAGTGGCAAGGTTTTATGTAACAATTAGTCAATCAGGAGTGAAGCATGTCTTCTATAAATTGGATGGGGTAGGTGGCATCGTGATTTATAAAATTATCATCAAATGACAGTTATTGATGAAACCGCCCCCATAGAAAACATCCCTGATAGAAATTGAACAGTAACAGAATGACCGATAACATAAGACAAGGGCAGTGACTGCACATTAATTATCTTAAGATAGTAAGTAATGGGATCCATTTGCTATGCAAGGCATGATGTGTCCTGGACTGAGATCAATACTAATTTCTTTAGTATATTCATTCCCCTCACTGATTCCATTCCTCTGTGGAAACAGCCATGGTTCTTTAGAAACAACAGAAAAATACCAATATGGTAGTTTTAACTAGGTTTTTATTTATGGAATATTTCAGCACATATCTGCATGTATCTAACCACATATCTTATAGTAAATGTAAAAAATATAGTTATCTATTCCCAACATGAGTGATTCACTTTGTTTTTGCAATCATGATTGTGTCCACTTTATAATATGAGGTGGTTTATCACTTAATTTTGTGTAAAAACTTGGTGCTGTACATCTCTCAATTGCAAGACTCTGAAAGGCCATTTCAAGAATGAAATTAGTGATTCTTTAAATCCTTTTCTATTATTTCTCCACCCAGAATCCCCACCCCCCAAAAATTTGTTTTGTATTTTATTCTATTTATTATAAAAATCAAGTGGGTTTTTTTTGGGGGGGGTGCTGTGGATCTGATAATGAAGTCATAAATTTGGTCTGAAAATCAATTGTAAAAATGTCAAATAATCAGAAAGTCTTCAATTTTTTTGTTGTTGTTATTTTTGGGACATAGGTGTGTATTCTCCTCTCAATGTGTGTACGTCTCCAATGGCAAGTAGGGCATTACTCAAACCAAATTTCAATTGGAGATGAACTTAGCCAGACACTCAACTGGATTCTAACTCTTGTCCTTTCAGGGGGGCTGGCTATAGACTCTTAAAGAGGCAGTCACTCTTTTCCCTGAGGGGTTTGCTCTTCCTACAGACAACAGCCTCATAACAATGAAGCATCAGACTCACTTTGAGTGTGTTAGAAATGACATAGAATATATGTTTTTAAGTATGCTGTTTTCTAGAGAAATTTTCAGATGAGTTTTGAGAATTATATAGGAAGAGTGCTATTTTTTTATGGATTGCTTAGTAAACAATTACATATAAAGCTTCTATTCCAGAATTATGTAGGGGGGGTTATTTTATAGTGGGGTCTTGGCATTGAGAAATTTAGTGACCTACTATGGAAATGAGCTCCTTTGAATTTGCAGGTTCTGTGTTGCCATGGCTTCTTTGGTTTCTGTGGTCCCTTGCAACCCAGATGCTTTCTGTAGATTTTGACTCATTTTGTTTTGCTATGGTTGTTGTCTCGCTTTGCTTTGTCTTTTGCAAAATTGGAAGTCAATCATTTGTTTTCCTTAAATGAATCAGAATAGAATAGTAATATGCAAAATAATAAATAAATAGGGGCTGGAGCAATAGCACAGCGGGTAGGGCGTTTGCCTTGCACATGGCCAAAACGGGTTCAATTCCCAGCATCCCATATGGTCCCCTGAGCACCACCAGGGGTAATTCCTGATTGCAGAGCCAGGAGTAACCCTTGTGGATCACCAGGTATGACCAAAAAGGAAAAAATATAAATAAAAATAAAATAAATGAACAAATAAAAAATGCACCTCTTCCCTGAAAATGGGGTCTCTATTAGGAATTTGAATTTTCTGAATTGGAAAGCACTGATTTCTATCACCTCCTCAAAATTTTTCTAGAACTTCCTCTTCTAATTAAAGTTGGCTTATGTTTTCATCATACTCCACATTATTCCCAAGTTTCTTTTCAAGGTATCTGTGGCTATACTAATAGTCAAATAACTAAAGCAGAGGAAAGCAAGAAAAGCACACACACATACACACACACACACACACACACACACACTTATTTAAAAAGAGAGACAGAGACAGAAAGATATTGGATATGATACAAACATGGCAGTGAACACTTCTACAATAAAATTTAGAAAATTTATAGCCTCTCTCTTCATTTTCTTTATTATTTCATTAAGGTGGAGAGAATACTCATATCAACCTTATTCATACAAAGTCTCCTTAAAATGATTTAAATGTAAATGAGTAATGTTATCCAAATCTTAAATTAAAGTAAAATTGTTCATGGTGATACTCCATTTTTCTTCTCCTCCAATATCTACTACAAAGGCAGAAAGGGGAGAAAGCTCAATTCGGTGCACAATCTGTTTTTCTGGATATACTTGCAAGGTTTTTTTGTTGAATCGTTGGTCTGTTTGCTTGTTCAGTTGCTTTGTGTCTATTCATATGTTTGCTTTCGAGATGAATTGGGGTTGCAAGACTTAAGAAAGCAATGGCAAAGGTGTAAGGACCCACCTTCTTGGCACTCATGCATCGAGAGGAGATTATGCCCTTGTGGTCTTCCAAAACAGGACTTGGTTCTGAACCACATTGTTTTAATACACATCTGTGTTTAACTTATGACCCCTTCTAAATCTGTGAAACAATAGAATTCATTGGGAAATTGTAACTGTTCTGATGAAAAAGAGTCATTTAATAATTAAGAACAGCTTTATTTACTTTTTTGTCTTGTAAAAGTTATTTGTATCTAGTCAAGACTATATCTCTAGTTCATTATTTTAAATCAGTATTTTCCTTTGGAACTATTATTGCACTCTTGTTATTTTATATTTATACTGATTAAATTAAACCACTTAGGGTGATGAAATTACTCAAAAGGCTGTTAGATTTTTAGGTTGCATCTGCAAGAAAACCTCCAAGAAGATATTTAGAAATGAAAGTCACAACAGCATTATTTTAGATTTGTTTTCAGAGTTTATGACCAAGAAGTACTGAGAAGAACACAGTGACATTTGTTCCCGGGATATTTCCCTTATTCTATTCTAAGTGTATGTAAATGATTTTAGCAGGAAAATATTTAATAATAATTTTTTTAAAAAATTAAGCAGACTCTCTTACTAAGTATAAAAAATGATTCTTAACCAAAAGTAAAATGTGTTTTATGGTTCTAATGATTGGCTTGGATAGTGAGGTCTCAACATAAAAGAATTAAAGTTCTAATAAAGTGTTAGCTATTTTATCCCCTGAATCAAATCATAGCAGTCACTCTCAATTGATGATCTGTACAACTGGTTTTCAAAAACTGACTTAGAAATAGTTTTTCATGCACTTGTAATGCTATTTGGTCTGAACTTTATCTTAGAAATATTTTCTGGAGTTTTTTCTGCACGTGTATGTCAATTCTAAGTAGAGAAATAATTTTATTAGTGATAACATTGCATTTCTGGCATCTGGCATTCAAGTTTGGACCAAATGTTTGCTCTGCTCCTCCCTGGACTGGTATTACAGAGAGCCAAAGGGCCGTTTAAGACCATTACTTTTTAATTTTGTTATGCATGCACAGCATTATAAGAGCCTTCCTCTGGTTCCAAGTACAGATGAAGAAATCTAAACAAACGGTTGCTGCAGCAGCTTCTGAAACATTTTTGATTGCCTATCACCTCTGTCAGGTGGGATTTCCACCATTTTGGCCATTTGCTTACAGTGCCTTCTGAGAGATCAGCTAATTTTCAGAAAAGCGCTGAATTAGTATGCTATGGAACAGTGTTGCAAGAGAATAAATTTCAACACCAGTAAAATTTTGCTACTGATAGCATATACCATCAGAGCACTCTGTAAGAAAGAAATTCCACCTCCAATGTTTGGATGGCATTATGTTCCCTGGTTGAGTCTCATGGAGCAATTTGCTGAACGATCATGCTACAGTTTGTTCTCTAAGAAGGTCACTGTTTCATCTTATTTACTTTGATTTCTTTGAGCAACACAGCTTATCATGTAACACACGGGAAAATAATTAATCAAGAGTTAAGGTAGGGATAGTCGATTTTGTTTTCCTCTAGTTTAAAAAGTAAAATATCTTGTGATTTGTGATCACACTGTTTAAGGTTTTAAAAAAATTGCCCCAAACCAAAGAAGTATGCAAAAGTCTGATGTCACAGCCTGTCCCGACACCTGCTTTGTTTCTTGATGTAGCAAGGTCTCTTCAGATTGTTAAGTTTCACATTTGTCTTCAATTGGTATTTTAAAAAAAAAAAAAGTTCATTCTCTTGACACCTGTTGTCGCTTTTAGATCCCTCGAGAACAGAAAAGAAAGAGAGCAAGTGTCCAACCCCGGGGTGTGATGGAACTGGCCACGTAACTGGGCTTTACCCGCATCATCGCAGCTTGTCTGGATGCCCGCACAAAGATAGGGTCCCTCCAGAAAGTAAGTCCGTGTGTCACCCATGCCCTTGGGAGCACACACACACACACCTGTAAATCTGTTTCCATCATCCCTCTTGCCTTTTGTCATTTCCATCTTACAGCTCAGTGCAAACTTACTTGACTAGGCCCCTACCTATCTTGATGAGCAGCCCACGTAGGATCAGTGGGTCCACCCATGCCCCCAGAATCTAACCCTCCACCTCAGGCACAGTGTTTCCTGAGTATCATTTGTCTGCTAGCTCAGCCCTAGGATAGCGGCTCACCACAGGTGTTCTTCTTGCAGCACAGCTCCCAACAGACAGGCCTGGGTGCTAATTCGTAACTGCATTTCTAACTTGCTCTGTGACTGCAGGCAGCTCACTTCTTTCCTTCTCTGCTCACAGAGTACAGCGTTGGACACAGTCTCTATGATATCCCTACCAGCACTAAACTTTCTATGATGAAACCCCTACCCCCTACCACCCCGGGCCCAAAAAAAAAAAAAAACCCTTGAGATTTCTTTTGCCCAATTATCTGGACTTCTAAATATATCTGAATATATATTCATACTTATGTTTTATTGCATTTTACTTGTAAAGACACTTTCAGGTCAATGTGGTCCCAACAATAAAGTCTCAAATAGGGTGAAATTAAATGTGTGGGTCTTAATCTCCCACATTTGTTTTAAATAGTTAGGTGCAGAGATGATATCATCTATCTATGAAAACAATTGATTTTATTTCAGAATTGTGCACTTTTTCCCCCTTTCTCTCATCCCATAAACTATGCCTTCTATTTAAATGCAATAAAAATTGAGGACTCAGAGTGTACTGGAATGGGGAAAAGCACTTTTTTTCTAACCAGACTCTCTGTGTTTCAAAATCTGATGCTTTCAAGTCTTAGGTATGTTGAGGATTCATCTCACAATCTGAGACAGTTTTTAGTGGGGAACATGTCAAGACTTGACTTGAGATGTGACACGGTGATCAGCTGATCATGTGGAAGAACTTTTGAGGAGGGTCCCCTTAGAATGGGTTACTTGGGAATATTAAGAAGGAAATCTGTCAGAACAGAGAAAAGTTCAGAAGAGTAGCTGAGGTAGAGAAAGTGGGTTTTAGCTGAACATATTCAGGCGAAATATTTTTTAGAAGCATTTATGGCACCAGGTTCTCAACTGGCTGTTAAAAATACAAAACCCACATTTTTGGAACTGCTTGTGCACCAGTGGAAGCGCTGTGAACAGGAAAGAATTTGAGTGCAAGGTTCCGCCCGTGTGTTACATGAGCAGAAAGACAGCATGGTCTGACCTCAGCAGCTTCCGTTTCCTGAGCACTCGTGGTGCTTGATTCACACCCACACACACTAACTCATTTGATCCCCAATGAGGCCTGCAGGGGCATGTGGGTCCTGGTTTTCAGATGAGGAAAACGAGGATCAATGTGTCCTTCTCTTTCCAGGAATGGGTAGCACAAAGCCTGGCAAATTGAGGATGTTCCATAATTTTTAAAACTAATCTGAGCAGGTACCAACTTGCCAAAGTAAGTAGCTGAGCTCAGAATCCTATCCCTCTCTGTCTCAATCCCAAGCCCTTCTTTGTCTGCTGACACCAGGCTGGATATTCCCGTTTCACTCCTCACCAGCTAGGTATGTGACATCGGGCAGTACTGCTATCTGTACCTCGTTTTTTTTTCCTCATTTACGAAATGAGACATTATGACCAAGCACAACGTTTTAAGGATGAACTTCTTTATGCGATTTTTCATTCAAACATAAGTTTTCACCTTCCAAGTCAAATACCAGCTCGCTTTCATGGCTGAGAAATATCTTGGCTCCATATTCTTGCAGGGAGAGTCTAAGCATGGCAGAACTCTGGGCTGTGTCTGACAGGTGTCCCTTGGCATGTGCATACATACCCTGAGTCAGATCCCTTGGCACACCTTAGCCCATGCGGAAGGTGATATCCTCTTCTACACTAACCACACAGAGCCTTTCAGGAACTACAGACAATTATTCCCAAATATTTGCTAAGGGTTTTGTAATAGTATCACAAAATTACAATAATAATAGTAATAATAATAATATACACTACAAAATTACATCTTTTTTCTCTAACTGTTTTTGGGGATAATTGGACCTAGTCATCATTTCTGTTCTCTTGAATTTAGTATAATAGTATGATACCTACTCACCTCCAGTTTGCGACACACTGTGTTAGGAGTGCAAGGGACACACTGTTGAATAAAACACAGACTGAGCCCCTGAAAGCTCCTAGCCCAAATAAGTAAGGGGCATGATGAGCCCAAGAGAAAATGAGACATTGAATGATAGAGGTCGGCAACATGCCCTGAGAGGTCAGAGATGATGGTCTCCCAGAGCTACGAAATCTTTGCTAAGCTAATGCTTAGCTGATTATGTGCTGGAGAGAAGAAACCCACATCCATGGAATTTTTGGAAAACTTTTATAATAGTCCATATGGGTAATCAGGGTATAATGAAAGCAGGAAGCAGAGGGCCAGAAGGACTGGGATAACTTGGAGATGCATCCCAGAGACAGGCTGGCAGAACTCTTTGTGCTGGAGGAGGGAGGTTGAGATGAGCAGAGGCTCTTTGCCTCCATAAGCAGTATGGATCATTCCACCAAAGACAGATACAGGAGGTTAAGAAATGGGTTCTAAAGAAGCTGATGAGATAGGACAGTAGGAGAGTGGGTAGCTGACAAGGTTCAATCCTGGCAACATACATGTCCCCCTCATCCCCCCTTCCCAAAATCCACGAAGAGTAATTCCTGAATGCAGATCCAAAAGTAAGCCCTAAGCACTGCCACATGTGCACCACCTCCCTCCCCAAATTAATGAACCCAGGGAGCAGAATAAATGACCTGATTTTTTCCCCTCTGATTACTGGAAGTGCCAGTAAACTTTCAGGAGAACTGGCCTAGAGAACAGAGGGTCAGGTGCTCAGAGACTAGCTATATCTGCCCTTGAGCACTGCAAGTAGAAATAGAATGCAATTGTCCAGAGAGGAGACATAAAGAGAACAAATGAGGAGCAAAGATGGGAGAATTGAGCACCATGCAGAGAAAGGTAAAGTAGGAGAAGTTAAGACCAAGATGATCAATGTAGACAGCAAGCACCAAGAGAGGTCAGTATTTTGGAAAAGGGCCCATATATAATAAGTATGTCCAAGGCCCAAAGAAATTCAATAGAAAGGACTAAAGGGATCAGTAGTTAGCACAGCAGGTAGGGCGTTTGCCTTGCACGCAGCCAACATGGCCAACCCGAGTTCAATTCCTCCGCCCCTCTCGGAGAGCCTGGCAAGCTACCGAGAGTATCCGATATGCCAGACACAGTAACAACAAAGTCTCCAATGGAGACGTTACTGGGCCCGCTCGAGCAAATCGACGATCAACAGGAGGGCCTTTACCTTTACCTTACCTTTTTATTTAAAAGATAGCATTAGCATGGAATAAAAGTTATAAACGAGTCAGCGGGCTCAGTAATATGCCTGGGGTTGAGGAAATAGTATAGCATAGAATTCTGATCTCAGAGCTGAATCTCAAGATGGTGATGGCAAAGAATCCAGTCTCCAGGAACAAGGAGAGAGACACATGTGAGGTCTATATCCTATAAACAAGCATGAAGGATGTCTGCTCTCTTCAGGGAAGACTTTATATTTTAAATGTTTAGCATAAAAGGAAAGAAAATATGTATATTGATTTGAGAGGACAGCCATGCCATGAAAGGTTGCATGGAGGCAATCCCAGGACAGGAAAGCTGTGTAAAGAATGAATAACAAGTCAACCAAGGCCCTGCAAGAAAGGGAAGAGAACAGGAGAGGAAGATGGAAAAGATGGATTTTGGAGGGAGGAGGGATACACTTATCGAACAGGAACTGGATCTGGAGTCCCCCAGGAATGAGACTTCCTGGAATTCTATAGCAGCCTAGCCCCAAACAGAATCATAGCTCAAGATGAGCTGCTTACATTTGACAGCTGTTTACTTAACCTCATCTATGTGTGAAGAGTTAGAACGGTGCTAAAGGTTAGACCCAACTGAGCTTTATTTCTAAGTAGCACACCAGAAGTGAGGAGATCAGATGTGGGCTCAGGAAATGATGGCATCATGCTAAAACAAAATATTGATTTCAGGGCAGGGAGAGGTTTTTGTTTGAGAGAGAAGTAGCAGTAAGAACTATGCTGTGGAATCTGCATGAGTGGGCTGTGTTTTCAGGGGCTCTTCCATGTGTTCACAGGGTCCTTAGGTAACCCCTCTGCTAGCTCTTCCTGCCACGTGATTCTCCTGGAATTTGTAGACAGCTGCCCCAGGACTGAAGCTGCTTGTCCATTCTCCTGACTTTCTTCTCTCAACACTTCCACCCCTCACAACTCTCCCCCACCCAATCCAGAGCCTTGGAGTATTCCTCCCCCCCCCCCCCCCCCCCCGCCAAGAAAGAACCTGTGAAGAACCTGTGCTGACAGCTGAGGCCCATCTCCCCTGCAGGGTGAATCTAAATGGTATCTTCTGACAGCAGGTCTGGGCATCTTTGCACTACAGGAACCATAGTCCTGCTGCCTCCCACTTGCTGATTTCACATCATCAGCTGCAGAGCTGATTTTTAGCTCATTCCATTTTAAGAATAATAAAATACTTATGTACCAAAAAAATCCCTTAATTCCTAGCTGAAAGGCTTGTAGTTAACTCACTTTATTTTAAAATAAGGTTTGGGATTCTCTATTCACCCATGACCACCACACCTTCATAATATCTGTGTTTCCAAAGCATAGGCATGTTTTATTTTTAATGACCAATCTACGTGCTGTTACATGGCTAATCAAAACCCGGTGCTTTTCTATGGGAGCATTGGGGGGGGGAGTGTGGGCGGGGGGGGGACCCTTGCCTTCCTATTTCATCTGAAACAACTTGACCTCCACAGCTCCCTGGCCACGCACCTGCTTTGCATGCCAATTAGAGTGAGGGCAAGACGACCTTCTTTTTCTTCCTACATGTGTTTCCCTGACCATGCCCATCACAAAACGTGTGCAGGACTGTCTGTTGTAAACTAACCCAGCCTCTGTGAAAATGATTGCATATACTTGTAACTGGGACCATTTCTGTGTTTTAATGCTGGGCTGTTTTCTCTGCCTCTCCTTGTCAAGTTCTTGCCATGCATGAAAATGTTCTCAAGTGTCCTACTCCGGGCTGCACAGGGCGAGGGCATGTAAATAGCAACAGGAACTCGCACCGAAGGTAAGCACAGCGCCCTGCATTTTCTGCTGTGGGGAAGCCAGTTCCCGGGCAGCTTGACCCTCCCTCAGCCTTTGGGAGCGCATGTACATGACTTTCCTGCCCCGGCAGGCAGGCAGGCAGGCAGGCCAGGCATTTAGAGAGTAGAGAGACTGCCATCCGTAATGCATGGAACTTCAAACTCTTGGAGCCCCTTTCACGGAGGGGAATTTCTTAGTGGTCCTGTTCACCTTGTCGTGGTGGGGTAGCAGTCCCCCAAAAGCGGGCCTTCCTCGAACGGAGACCTTACCTATTTGCAGTGAGTGGAGGGGAGTTCTTATGGTCTTTGGGGTAAAGAAAGGACTATCCTATAGACATCATGCTGGGGTGGGAATTGAAATACACAGATTGCCAGATACTATGGATTGCCCCCACCCTGCAGAAACCTCGGTTTTGGGGAAATGAACATCATTAAGAACTTTCACATTACAAACATGCTGGTTGGGCAATGCATGGGCTGATAGGTAAATTGACTCTATGGCTATCAATAAGCATGTTCAGAATTATACTTCGTTCTTGACAAGTTCTCTTTCCTTATCCTATTCCAATTTTTACTTATTTCAGTTAAATACAATATTTCAGTTCATATCAGAGACTTTTTTTCTCAAAAGCCAAAAAAAATACGATTCTACTATCATTTGTCTTAGAACCTTATAGATTTAGTGTCACCAGTTCATATGAAACTCTGAGTGGAAGAAACGATCACAAATTTCACTTTCACATTTGCATGTTTGCCTGGTAAATTTTGTTGCTTATGTGAAAATAATGAGACCAGTTAGAATTCTTTGCTCATCAGAGACTTTCCTGGGCTAAATATGTAGACGAGGGGATAACTGTAGACTGGCAATAATCACGCTGAGCACTTTAACATCAGTTCCTTCATCAAACCTTCACATAGTTGTGTATGTTCAGAATGCATGTATCCTATGTGCACATGGGATAAGCATTTGTACTATGTGCAGATATAGCCAAGATGCACAACCAGCAGACACCAAGACCACATGAAGAGTGAACTCAAAACCCAAAGAACCCATCTGTTGTCTTGTCCATAAATATTTCATTCCAAACACCATTTTAAGGCCTTTTTAATCCTAGTGATTACTCTACTTCCTCCTGCTCACTCCTGTTTCTGGGTTCTTGGGAGAAAACAGACCTGTTGGTGGAAGGAGGCACCAACCCCTGTGGTCAACAGGGCACAGTGTAGGGCTCCATCTCCTGGTGTTATTTGGCACTGCTGTCTGGGCTGGGAGAAACTCATTCTACCCAGAAAAGCCAATTCCATGTGCCAAAAGCAGTGAACATCCAAGGATGGAATATATTATCTGAATTTAATTTAGCTGGTTCATGGCCTCTGAATGACTGCATTTGCCTTGCTGTTATTGTAAGGGGTCCTGTAGATTCTATCTGCATTGCCACCCACATGATCCACCAGGATACAAAATACAAAGAGGTACAAAGAACAAAGACAATTATTTCTCTTACCTCCCAGCCCCATTTATTCCATAAGGAATGCCCTGAGCATCTTTGGGCCCCTCCCCAGCACCAGCCTCAGGGGGTTCTGATGCGGCTAAGAGAGAGAAAGAGAAGGATGAGGAAGAAGAGTGATTGGGTCAGGGTACTGTGTAGCTCATTGAGGGGGAGACAATTAAATCCCTTTCTGTAATTGCAGCCTCTCTGGATGCCCTATTGCTGCAGCAGAGAAATTGGCAAAGGCCCAAGAAAAACACCAGAGCTGTGATGTATCCAAGTCCCACCAAGCCTCTGACCGAGTGCTAAGGTACCTACATGGAGCGGGTCGTTTCATGAGATCCATCTAGAGCCATTTTTTAACACCCCCAGTGCCCAGGACTCTGCATGACATGGATTTTCTCATTAGAAGCAGGGATGAAAGTAGCAGGTGGTGCAGTAAAGAGGTGACTGTGCCAGGAGACAGGACCAGTCCTCCCTTTGCTACACAGTGAGGGCTGTAAGCAGGAAGTGGTGGGGGGGGAGTGGGAGGGGAGGGAGAACTTCCTGTTGAACCATTGTAAGTTTCCAAATGGGAGAAGTGGACAAAATTGTGTCTGGTTTTCTTTCTGTCCCTGTATTTCATGAGTCTATGAATGCTAGATGAAAAAAGGAAGCTTTAAAAATTAATGAGATGCCCAAAGTAATTTTATCTTAACCTGCAGGATGGTGTTAATGTTTTTAAAAATGTCAGAGTGATGGGAACGCCACCTGGCACGTACACGGAAGCTTTCTGTGTGAACAGCCTTCAAAGCCGCCTTCTCCTTTTATCCTCAGACACCCCTGGGAGGAGGCGGGAGGAGGTGTTGTTCACCCACCTGACAAGCGGGAAACCACAGTGAGAGAGGTTAAATGACTTACCTGAACACTTAATCACTGAATGTTAAAATGAGAGCGACCTCAAAGATATCTGGTTCAACCCACTGTTTTTTTTAACTTTAGAAAAGGAGGGTAGTTTGGAGAGGAGGTGGAGGGAACGATACACACCCCATAACCCTTAGATCAACTTTCATTTGTGCATGTTCCCTTCAAACCCGCATCCTTGTGAAAATAGTCATAGCCACCCTATCGCCTGTCTTCTTCGTCAGTATCCTAGAGAGACATGATTCCATGCCCACATCTGTGCAAGAACTCGAATTGTCATCTCAGTGCTGTGCACATTCTGCTGCTTGCAGTACCACCAGTATTGAAACCTGGTCTGGTTCGGATGCATTGAGGTGGATTCTAATATGCAAAGAAAAAGGAATAAATACACATACACACACACACACACACACACACACTTTTCTTTCTGTTAAATCATCTCTTTAAGAGAATTAATTTGGAAAGGGTCTCAAAGCAAATGATATTGCCATCTTTGGGCTTTTCTGTGTATTGTTTTCATAGTTTTCTTTACCCCAGCCATTAAACTCTTTACCCCAGACATTAAACTCTCTTGTTTCTCTCCATAAAAAGTTAAGGTATGTATATAAAATGAGGAATAAGAAAATAAAATTTATCTATGACTTTGTTAGCCAACAATGGTAACTTTATAAATGTTGGTATGTGTTCTTCTAGTCTTTTCTATGTTACCAACCTTTCATACTGCCAATAATACATGTCCTTAATATAATTAAAACCTGAACTTCAAGCAAATTATAGGATTACTCCAGCCCATTTCCAGTTATTAGCAACATGAAGCCCCCTTGTCCCCACCCCCAAAAAATAACCAAGATATGAAATTAAGTAAGGACTGTATGAACCACAGAAAATTTTGGGGAAAAGATCAGAAGGGATTAAGGCTGAGGACTTCTATCAATCATTTTCCTTGACCCTGGAAGGCTTGAAAGAACCTCATGACCACCCCCATTTTTATGCACCACCAGATGGCCATGTTACCCACATTGTTTCCTGGGGCAAGCATTCCCATGAGAATATCTATTGGCAGCAAGAGATTGATATTTCCCCTATCAAAATATCACCTGTTCATCCATTCTGAGTTGGAGACTGAAAAAGCAGCCTAGGAGCTCCTTCTTTATTTAGATCTATATAAAAGAGAGCCATGTCAAAAGGTAACAGAGCATACACCAATATGTGTGTGCCTGTGGTTCTCTTTTAATGCCTCTGGCTGGTGTAAGAAAATGGGCAGGGATGGGAAAGGCCACTGGAAGTGACCCCAGCTAGGGGCCTTTGACTTTTCAGAGGTTGTGAGCTCCTGCTGGTTCCTCCAGGGCTTCCCAAGGCTGGAAGTTGAAAGGGTTTGGAGAGTCAAGTCTCCTGCAGCTCACCTTTGTGCTCCCAAATCTGTCTCTAAGCAGGGATGCCCTCTCAATGGGGTTAAAGAGAGAGATGGTGGGAAATGGGAAAGAGAACAAGGACTTAAACCTACAAATTTCAAATGATTTGCAATTTAAGTAGATTTCCCAGGATGAACCAAGGACTGCAGTATGTGCTTCCAACCCTGTCCAAAAGTTTCCATCTCTTTATCATGCCCTGTCTCCTGAGCCTCCATTAGGCCCTCTTTTAGATCATCAGGCATCAGCTATTATATTCTCTCCAGTACTTTAGGTCTCCGTCCCTCTGAGCAGGCCCTAATCCTTTGAAGGTTTAGGGCTTCTGTTTCCCTGTGGCCCAAGCCCTTTGTCCTTCCCTACTGGACAAATGAGTAATCGCCAGTCTGGTACCAGATCTTTCCCAAATGTGCTTCTACTCTTTTTTTTTTTTAATTTTTTTTAAACTTCTCACTTTTTGATTTTGTAGTTTCTTTTCCTGGAAAGACTTTCTCACCCTTGAGCTTCACCTTAACAATTCTATCTGCAAAACCTGCTTCAAACATCACCTTCTCCATTAAAACCAAACTGAATCTCATAGTCAGACATGTCCTCTCCTTCCCTCAAACTCTCGAAGTATATGGAATTTTAATTTTCTGTCACATTCTACCTGATCTCTGAAGGCACAGCCAAGAGTTTTATTCATTCATGTATTCTGCCCTCCAATATAGTCTGGAAAAAAGTCAAATATTAAAAGATACTGAACCATCATCACATCGGTCTGTTGACTCAACAAGAATTTACTTTTTTTTTTTAGGCTAAGTTAATAAAGTTAAGATCAATTTGTCAGTTATTTACATCACCAACATGAAGAACACAGGGAAGGGAAGGCTTCTCTACACTTTTCTATAACTATAAAATGGTTTAGAAAATAAGTTTTAAAATTCTGTGAAATAGATAAGTAGATGGAAACACACAATAGAACATAATAATTGATTACTCATTCCCTTTAATTATTTTTTTCCAAATTTCCTGAAATATGAATGGCTAATAGGTAAAAATACTGAAGATCTATCCTAATATGTATTAAAACATTTTATTGTGTGTTTCTACTTAGTGCCCAGCTAAAGCATTTATCTAGTTTCATCTCAGTCTATGTCCCTGGGATTGTTTCTCTTATGTCCCCTTAATTTTTTAGGAGAAATTTATTATTCCCTCGAATTATTTACTGGTGCTCAAAATCAAGTGCATGACAGTGAGATTCTTTCCATTCTCATAACTCACGTCTTCATCAAACTCATCAACTCTTTTAAAGGAAAGATTAAAAAAAAATTGATTTTACATACAAATGCATTCAGATCTTTTTTTAAAAAGTTTTTATTTGGGTTTTTTTAATTGTTAAAGTTACCATTTAGGCAGAGAGCTCATTTTTTGCTCTATAATAATAGCACACTCGGTCTTTTCTCAGGAAAGTAGAATTATGGCCACAGTGTGAGGTTCCGGCTCCTTAAGACAGTTAAATGTGATGCTCTAACTTTCACGGGACCATATCCTCTCCACAGCCACAAGGAAGCAAGCTGTCGATTGTTTCTTGTTTGCTTACAGGCCAATGTGCTTTGTAAAGCAGCTCGAGATCCCTCACTACGGCTACAGAAACAACGTCCCCACGACCACGCCTCGCTCCAACCTGGCCAAAGAGCTTGAGAAATATTCCAAGACTTCGTTTGAATACAACAGTTACGACAGCCATACTTACGGCAAGCGGGCCATAGCTCCCAAGGTGCAAACCAGGGATATATCCCCCAAAGGATATGATGGTAGGAGGTGCACACTCTTATACATGAGAGAACACGTTTGCCATGAATGATGTTGTTGTTGTGTTTATTATTTCCTTCGAGTGCTTTGAGCTCTGGTGGTCACTGGATGGGAACTGAGGAACAGCACACCCGCTGCATGGGCTCAAAGTTTCAAAGCCCCAAGATCACGCAGGCACAGGTGAACAGGAAGCACAAGTGGGAGGAAGGGCCCTGCCCGACCTTCCCTTAGTGCCTCCACAGCCGCTGGCTCTTCAGCTTCATGCTGCTATTCCATCAGTGTCCTCATCTTTACAAATGGCTCATGGTTGTACACAGAGAAGGCATGACCACCACTGGCCGCACCCCAGGGTTCTTGGCTCTTGGGGGTCTCTGCTTTCTTTGTGTTTTCCATTTTGCATGCACCCTCGAGTCCTCTGGGGAGATAGAAGAGCTAATATGGCAGCTACACTCCAGATAAATTCAGTCCCTCATTATGGTGGCCCTTGTTAAAACAAGCAGTGATTTTAACAAGCAGCTAAGGGACACTTTCTGTTGGTGTTACCAGATGCTTCCTTGCAGTCCAGAATGCTGGGTCTGATATCTTTATGTTGGGAGTGGGTCTTGGGGTGCCACCTGTCACAATGTGGCCAGGTTATGGGCTGTACTCTTTATCAAGGTATCTACCAGTAATCCAGACCTGGTACAAACCAAACTGTGCGTGTCCAGGAAAAGCATAGTTTATTTTCACTGTGCTTATTTTAACTCACTGCCTACAGTATAAACTAGTTCCCATTCATCACAGAGCTGATGTGGTAAGTAGTTAAAGACTAGAGGGGATGATGGTGGTTTCTCAATTTTACTTTTTTATCTAATTACATTTATACTTTAAATTCTAGAATGTTTGAATTTGGTTGGCAAATTTAACCAGCTGAGATGTGCTTAAGTTTTGATTTTTTTTTTTTGAGTCTTGCCTTGGTTCTCTAGTTCTTCTCTGAAAGAGATATTTAATTAAAATCAGAGCATAACAAAAAATTATTTAAATGAAATATTTGGGGAGTTCCAAAATCATTTTACAATTCAAATTGTCTGAATTTCTGTACACCTACCTCAGTAAAAAATTGTGTAGTAAATAAAATTTAATATTTCTCTAATATAACATATTGATTATCCTTGAGTGTATCCATTTTATAATATTAAGGTAAAAAGATGTATGTGAAAAAGAAAAAGGGTGTCAGGGTATAATACAAAATGATTATTTTGCTTTGATTATTTTGTAATCAGAACTTACTAATTTTAGGTTTTGTTGTAAATTCATTCATTCAATTACAAATGAAGTATCTAAAGAAATTGAATCCAAAGGATTCAGGATTCTGCCTTTAGGAATTTCATTGTATTGTCATTTGATAGTGACTTAATGAGAGCTCTCACTAGGCATTCACTTCACACACCTGTGTGTTTTCTTGTTCCCTGTGGTATGATTCCCTTAACCCCATTGTTATGGTTGGATTCTAACCTCAGAGGAAAGGGAACTAATAGGGGAAAATCCTGACCAGTAAGACATGTCTTAAAGATACATTGCCTTTTAGTGCAGTACCCTTCAACCACAGGTCCACAGACCAGTGCCAATTGCAAACCACTGGTCTGTCACCTTGGTACTAATTCCAAGACTGTAGACCAGTATGCAGGATGGGTGCCATATCACAGGTTTAAAAGGTTGAAGAACCCTGATTTAGTGTATTGAAGTCAACCCTACTTCGGTCTATTTTCAAACTCTATGATATTAGATAAAGCAATTTCTCTGCATTGTTTCCTCAAACGTAAACTAGGATGACTACTAGTCCTACCCCTGCTGACCTTATAGACTGTTGAGGCAACCACATAAACAAGCACAGATTAATTATTTGTATTCATTCTCACCCTCCTGAGGGAAAAAGTACTTGTCAGAAGCTTGGACAAAGCCATGCTTTTCAGTTAATCCACAAGAAATCAAGAATTTGTTGAGCATTCAGGATGAGCACTTCAATGATCAAATCTTAAAAATAGCCTAAAAATAAAGTCAAGGCAAACTTATATCAAAATATACTGAGAAGAAAATTAATGACTCTTTCTATGCCACTAGATTCATCGGCCAGTTTTTCACATCAAAGCAGTTGCCTAGGGGAGACAAGATTGGCTGGGTCAGATTTTGTAATAGAGTGTGAGCTAAGAAGAGCCATTTCAATTCCTGGGTTTTAGACAGTGACTTCACAGTCACCCCTAAAAGTGCCTTTCCCAATGCTAACTCTAGGAGCACAATAATAGAGCCACAACTCCTAAAGAAAAACCTATGTCCCTATTGTGGAAGAGGGAATTATAATGCTTGGGGACCAGCTGTAGGCTACTGAGATGCAGAATGGAATAAATGAGAAGGACCCCTCTTCTTATCTACATATCATCCTCTAGTCACGTGACTGTGATGAAAGCACTTCACAAACACTGATTCAATCTCCTGCATTATTCAGACATTTGCTAGTTAGTATCTACCTAATCATCATCTCTCTACATCTAGTTATACTTATCATATCTACCTATCTGGATACATATCTTATTTATCCATCCATCCTCTATCCATCCTTTCCCTCTTGGTAATATGTTTTAAGGAAGAAATTTCAGATAGCTAGCTGATAGTGAAGCACATACTCACATATATTGAGACAAGGAGTCCATTCTGCCTGGAGGAGTTAACATTAACTTTACCCAAGTAGCAGGTGTTAAGTTTGATGGTGAAGCTTAAGAAGTAATCACAAGAAGGGAGTCTGGAGTGATAATACAGCAAGTAGAGACCTTGCTTTACATGCAGCAACCTAAGTTCAATCCTCAACACCCCATATGGTTCCCAGAGCTGCAAGGAGCGATCCCCAATTGTAGAGTCAGGAGTAAGATCTGAGTACCATCAGGCGTGGCCCACAAAACAAAACAAAAAAATTACAGACAGGCAGGAAACTCATAGGTAAGTGGGGATCTGCAGTGGTCTGATGAAGATGGAGGTGAGGTTGTAAAAGGAAGGACCAGGGCACTGTGGAGATGGGAATGCACTAGCTTTGCATCTTCTGATTGCTGAGGGGCTTGGGGTGTTCACCCATGGGACATGAAAATTTTTGTTTCTGAGCTGATGAAGGAGGAAAGGGGAGAAAGAAGGGGGCTTCCCCATCTTGTGTCTTTGGCTTTATGTGTTCCTTGAAGTTCCAGTTTCATATCTCCTGAGAGCTTATTTTTCATATGACCTAACAGTGACTTTGAAGTTGTTGAGGAAAAAAAAAGAGGAACAGTATTTAATGACACATGAAAGTTATGTGTGATCCAGAGTTCAATGTCCATGAGTAAAGTGGTATTGGCACATGCCATCATCATGTATTTACCTATGGCTACCACTGCTTTCTTGCCTTGGCACATGAAAGATGCACCCCTAAGATAGCACTATCAGGGCTATCTCAGAAAAGGCACTACCCAACAATATGTCTCCCTGTGTCTGGAATACAATCACCCTTGAGATTGTTTAAGCCCATCAGTATCCAGCACCCCATGGACAACTCAGATTCTTCTTTCCTACCTTTGAAGTTCTCCTGAGTTGAAATTAATCCTGTGGATTATCTCTGAGCTTCTGCTGAAGCCCCTTGCAGACTTCATCCCTTTACATGTGACTACCTCCAGCGACCTTCCCCTGTGGCCTTTCCTCCCAGCATCTGTCCTCTGGATAGGACCTCCCCACCCATGTTTCTGCCTGTCCTTGCAGGAGTCTTAAGGGCTCTGCTCTTCCTCTACCTTGACCTCTTCCACCTGACCACATGCCTTCTTTCCTTCAACATCTGCTTCCAGAAGCTTCACCTGCCCTAAGTCCTCCTGAAAAAATACCCAGCCTAAACCCAGCAGCCCTGCTTCTCAGAAGGGACAGTATCATCTGTGTAGAGAGGCACTTTTATTAAGCCCCACAATTCAGCCCTGCATCTTATCCTTTGGTCATTTCACCTGCAAGTACCAGTCTTCCCACTAAATTGTAAGCCCCCAGTAGGTAACAAGCATTGTCCTCAATTTCTCCCAAATCCCACGGTGCCAAAGGCAGGCAGGCAGTATCATGCAGAGAATACTGAGTGAGTGAGTGAGAGAATCCTTGCTTGGATTTGATTCGCTAAATCATGTGAGCAAACTATTTGCATTGCAGATGTGACCTAAAAGGATATTCTTACAAGAAAGCTCCTTTCTTTTTCCATTTAGGATTCTGCATCCATATTTCAATTTACTTATGATCAAGCACAAATGTGAGCCTACCTTTAAAACCCTGAGAGTCAGTGCTACGAGTTATGACGTGCAGCGGTCTGAACAAAATTAGGCCTAAAGGGCACCAGGTGGGACCTAGTGGGATAAATCCTCATGATGCATAACTTTGGATTGTATTCCTTTCTGTTGGGTTTTTGTGGAAATTCAGATTTTCAGGACACATTTATCTGTCTCCTGCTGGAAGATGGTGACCTATAAAAGAAAGTGGATATTTCTAGGAGAGTGAGAGCCACACCCGGAGAATGACTTTTACAAGGAGAGTAGGTTAACTAAAAGGCTCTGGTCAGAGCTGTTGCTATTTTGTGGAACCAGAGCGACAAAGCAGGTAGGGATGCTTGCCTTGCACATGGCTGACCCGGGTATGATCCCTGGTACCCCATATGGTCCTCCCAGTCCCACCAGGAGTGACCCCTGAATGCAGAGCCAGGAGTCAACCCTGAGTACCATCAGGTGTGGCTAAAACCATATTTTTAATTTATATATAATCTAAACCCATGCAAGAGAGAAAGAGAACTCAAGGTATTGCCCAGAATGATCCAGGCCTGGTGGGCAACTAACATTGTCAGATGGCATTAGATGAATGCTGAGCTTCTGGGAGAGTTATTACATTCTCATGTAATAACTGAAAATGCCTTTGTTTGTTTGTCAAAAGGTAAAGGTTGTAGATACTTTGTCCTTGTCACCACACTTCACTGACTCTCTCAGAACTGGGGGAGACGTGAGGCAGGAGCATCCCATCTGGGGCACACCCCTGATATCTCAGGGGCCCACCATTCTGTGGTGTCCCCTGATATCTACCCAGTGAGCTAAAGCAACTCTCTCAGAAGCACTGCTAACCTAGAATTCCATAAATGTGTTACCCAGAGGCAATGATTATTAGGATTGAAAGCTTTCATTCATTTCTTTTCAGTCCTACCTGGAGTATATAAACTCCTATCTTCGTTTTCGATAAAAGAAAATACTTATTATATTTAACTCAAGGCAGGAGCACCTAAGTATTGCCCTAGCTTCTTATTAGACTGACATGCTTGTCAATAAATGATCCCCAGGGCCTGAGAGATAGTGCAGCGGTTAGCGCACTGACTATTTGTACACTAAGCCATCTTGTTTCCCAATCCCTGCAAGCAGTAATCCTGAGCACAGAGCTAGAAGTAAGCTCCGAGTACTGCAGGGTTTGGCAAAACAATAGAAAACAAAACAAAGAAAAGAAAATGAAAAGAAGTGAAATGACTCCCAGTCTAGCCACCTGCTGAAATTTTACATGAGTCTCCTACTTGGCACAATCGAAAAATCTGATGGCTCAAACATTCAGTAGATCCAGATGCATCTACATTTTTCCTTACTAGATTAGAACATTAAGATTGCTTAAGAGGGACTTCGGAGAGAGCTCAAGGATATGCTCAGGTGCCAGAATTCAACCCTTGGTATTCAGTCCCTGGCACTATATGGTCTGTCCAGTGAGCCCCCAGCACAGACAAGCAGGGAGCTGGGTATGAACCTAGTGGTTGGTGACCTTAATGCACTGTGATGTGACCCCTAAAAATGAAAAAAAAAACATTTAAAATAACTCCCAAGTCAGATAAGGAATAGATTCAAGGACTGATGAGATAATACAGTGGGCAGGGCACTTGCCTTTCATGCAGCCAACCTGGGATCAATCCCTGGCATCCTGTAAGGTCTCCTGATCCCTACCAGTGATCCATGAAAACAGAGCCAGGAGTAAACCCTGAGCATCACCGGGCTGCCCCCACCCCATATAAAGAAATTAATTCTGTCTTGTAGAGAATTAATTAAAGAAATTAAATCTCTTATAGAGATTTGTCAGATGACACATTTTCACACAAAGATTTCTAGACCCTACAATGACCTTTGTAGCCTTATGTCTCTCCCTATAAGATGGGTGTGTAGCAGCACCCAATTTGGTCAAGGGCAGTAGGAGATGGGAGGGGGTCATGTTGGAGTTCCAATGAACCTGAAAGTGTTCTGTGTGCCCCTTGCACCTTCAGGGAGCACCTCTCACCTCCATGCTGTAGGAACCACAGTGTGCGCTATATAGGCACATCTGAACCCTGTAACTGTCTTCAAACAAAATTCCATTAGTTTCACAAGAAAACTCTTTTTTTTAATTTATCTGTACCTTTCTTCTCCCGCCATCACCACACACACACACACACACACACACACACACACACACACACACACCCTAAACCAGTGACTAACCCACGCCAGGGAGGAAGAAAGAAAAATTCAGAAGGATGATTTCATTCCCCCCCCAAAATTTTTCTATTTCTATTTTTGTAACCAAATTGTAAATGATGTGAAGTCATGAATCTGAGTCCATATGGAGAGTCTCACAAGCTGTGAATAGGCATTGCTGTCTCAGAGCGCCTGTTGGGAACCACTGGGTAGGTGCATGGCTGCCTCCACGGGAGGGTCTCTGCGGGGTTCTTTGTATCAGGGGCATTCTTGTGCTAGACCTGAAGCCACTGCCTGACTGCACTGTCATCTGCTGTGCATAGTAGACACATTCCCGAAGAAAGGGAGAGGCAGGTTTTGTGGGGCTACACTAACTCAGATGAGCAGATTGAATGTGTCATTTGCTCCACTCACTTATTTTGCTCAGAGGGTGGTTGGAGTGTGCCTCTGGCCCTCTGGCCCTTTGGCCCAAGCAGGAGGAACTGGGTCCGACTCCAATTTTCTACTTAGTTACTGGTTTTACAGATTGGGCAAAGACTTTGAGGAGGGATTGACCTGGCTTCCCCAGGCCACCCAGGCTCTAGGGCACTGCCTGTGAACCCCTCTCTCCAAGTCAAGAAAGTAGTTTTCAGTCCAGAGGTGAAATGCTCCAGGATGAAAGCTTAGTTCTTGTGGGTTTGTGTGTTTCAGGTGTGTGTCTTATATTAAATTTTGAAATAGTTTCAAAGTGGTGTAAAGGTTGCAAGAATCAAAGAACACCTTGATGCTTAGCTCTTTATTGTGTTTGAATATGATTGATTTGCTTTGGGGGTCATTTCTGACTATTGCTCACAATAACTGTTGGCTAAGTGAGGTTTGTTGTTCAGTTTCATTTCTTTTCTCCCATTTCTTCCTCCCTTTTCATTCAGGAGGCTGTCAGTGGCCTTCTAAACTGTGGTGGCTGGAGGAGAGGCAGTGCTCTAGTCTAAGACTTTCTAAGGATGTAGCTGGTGATACCCAGAACCATCAGCTTCCCTCTGCTTTCAGTCAAGGGGTCACTCTTAGGACCAGGACGCCATGATAATGCCTAGAATCCCCTCCATATTCTGTCTCCACTCCTCACACTTAGACACAAGGAACTGTCTGAGCTTGCATTGAAAAAAAATGCAACAGGATTAGATGCAGCATCTGGAAAAAAATGGTTTTCAGCAGATCCCAGCGCCTTTCCTTCCTTACTCTGCGTGGTTCAGGGTGCAAAACCTAAGCCCTGGGCAAATGGATATCCTAGGGCTGCTAATGACTTTGGCAGTGGAAATGGAGCTCATCCTAATCAATCATCCATCAGACATTTCCCATCCACTCAAGGAGAACAGCCCTGAAAGGTTGCGATTGCTCCTCTGTGTCTGCTTGGCCGTTAGTGATGCTGGCTATTCAAAGAAATCCTGGAAGGAAGCTGTAATCCTATAAAGAAGAGACTAGTGAGGTATCCCTAGAAAGGGGAGCCTGAGGAAGTGGGTGCTGGCCTCTCCCTCAGCAGCCACTCTGCCTTGTTTTACTCACGTCTACCCTATCTATATCCAGCCACCCCTCTTCTTTTAGGTGGCACATCAGACTCCTAGAATAGGACTTTCCTGCAGGAAGTGGTGTTCTGATGGCATTGTCTGGTCTGCATGCCTAGCCAATCCACTCCCCAAAAGTGCTAGTCCTGCAGTATCAGGATGTGGCTCAGAATGCACACATCTAAAACACTGAGCCCCAGTCTACCCCTATAACTGCTCCTGGCTGGTCAGAGCAGCCATTCTCTTGAAAGCTCAGTGACCAGCTGGCTCAGGTCCCAGTCCCAAATGAGCTGAGCAGTGAGATTGGAGGAGCCTCACTCCTTAGGCCCAACCAGGTCGTTTGTGTGTTCAGTCACTTCCTGAAGCCCTGATGGCAGACTCTGGAGCATGCATGTGTCTATAAACGGGTGACATAATATGCATCCTGGTTAAGAGACCTGTGCATTCTCCTCTCTGCTCAACCCAGCGCTCCTCACCGAATACGCACAAAACGAAAGGCAAAGACCAGGCAGGGTGTCTCTGTACCATCAGCCTGTGTCTCGGTGATGTGTGTTTACGCAGGGCTCTGGGGGTGGCAGGGCGTGGGTGGCTGTGGGTGGCAGGGTGTTATGCTGCTGCTGTTGTCTGGCACGGCGGGGACCCGAGTCATCTTTGTCCCCATATGTCTCCCCAGCGAAGCGGTACTGCAAGAACGCCAGCCCCAGCAGCAGCACCACCAGCAGCTATGCACCCAGCAGCAGCAGCAACCTGAGCTGCGGCGGGGGCAGCAGCGCCAGCAGCACATGCAGCAAAAGCAGCTTCGACTACACGCATGACATGGAGGCAGCCCACATGGCAGCTACGGCCATCCTCAATCTGTCTACACGCTGCCGAGAGATGCCTCAGAACCTGTCCACCAAGCCACAGGACCTGTGCTCTGCGCGGGTATGCCAGGGGCCAGCAGTGCTGACTGGGAGGGATGGGGCTGGATGGGGAGGGGGATATCTTGCCTTCTCGCTGTCACCTACAGTGACAGTCCAGCTGGCAGTCTGGGTTCCAAATTGCAAATGCCCCCGATCATCTAGCCTTCTTTTCCATGGCACAGTACAGCATGGCAGTCTCCACAGCTCGTTTCCCAAGAGAACTTGTTTTTCCCAGTCCGGAAAATTGTCAGATCTGTCTTTTAGATGAATATGTATCAGGGGACCCTCCTCTTTTAAGATCCGCAATCATTTCTGCAAACACAGAGCATGAGCTGAACCTCAGGCAACAGAAAACACAAGGTCAGGCTTTGAACTGGAAACACCAGGAAAACTAGACGGCATCATGGTCAAAGGAAGAGCAGTCCTGTGCCCTCAACTCCACACCTATTCAGTCACCCAGTATGAGGGGACAAAGAAAGTTAGAAATCCCATTGGCACTGGGACTGCTCTGCCATGCAGGGGTAGCCAGCTCCGATGAGTTCAAAAGCTTCATAGGCGCTTCCGTGGCAGGCAATGTGTTGTGGAGGTTTTGTTGTGCCCATGTTCTCTGTGTCTGCAGAGAACAGCAGAGCACCTGCCTGCCTGAGTCTGCTGCAGCAGGAACTTGAAGCTGCCTCTCCAGGCCGCTAGGTGGCCGGAGACGCAGGCGGTGCCAGGGAGTGGCGGCGCATTGTGTTCTCAGAGGACAGAGAGCAGGCAGACTGCCTGTCTTCCTCCTCTCCAGAAAAACAAAAGGGTCTCTCTCCATTACCTAGAGCTGCTCGGCCACGCTCCGTGAGCTCTCAACAGTGACAGTAGTTGTTATAAATCATTTAATTTGTATGAATGGAGAAAGGTCAGTGATTTTATGTTTTGCAAATGCTTTATTTTCTATTAATATTTTTATTTCTAGATTCTGGAGAAGTGTCTGGGGCATGCAATTTCCATGGTGATCAGGGTGGCTACAATGGGAGGTTAGCATGGGAAAGATTCTTTAACAAGACAAAAAAAAAGGGGGGGGCAGTATTCCCTTCCTTCTTTTTATTTATTAAAATTTAGAATGAGAGAGTTAAGTCCAACATGATGAAGACTAAATTAGTATGAGAGCTTGAAATCAGGAGTGCACTTTGACAAAAAGAGTTAGAATAATACTCTGTCATTTCTCAAGAGAACAGCCCAATGCCTGGGCATCTCATTCCCAGCATTTTCCCTCTGCTGTTATATCCAGAGGAAAGAGCTGCTAGACATTTGAGTAGGCAGCAGCTTTCATGCTAGCTCTGAAATCAAATTTTTGCTCAAGAGTGTGTGACTCTCTAGAAAAAAAATAAAAGGGGAAAGATTGTCAGGGGTATTTTGATTTTTCTTACTCTGCCCTCCACATGTCCTTTTCTCTCTCCCTCCTCCTGAGAGGCAAGCATTGAAGAATTCTTGATCTCTTTCAAAGCATCATTTTAAAAAAAAGAAGAAAGAAACTTATTCTGTATCTCTTTGTTTTTTTTTAAAGCCAGTTGACTAAATTTCAGGTTTGCTGAAGCCTAGAGTTGGTCAGACCATCATCTTTGTAGCAGGAGCATTTTGAACTTTGATTGTACCTCTCCCTCTCTGAAAATGAAAAATCTCCTTAGCATAAGTTTTTCTTTTTTAATTTCAGAAAGCAGATTTAAGTTCCCTCTCTTCCCCCTTCATTCTAATTCTTTTGTTTTTCTCTTCACTGTCCTGAAGTCTTAGTCACAATGAAGAATAATTTTTACATACACTTCATTTTTAAGTATATGAATTAAATATATTTTGTATACATACACACATTTCTGATCTCATAAGAGGTACTTGAACTGGAATAGAATGAAAAATTAGGCACGTGTTTATGTGTTTCTGGTTAGGTTTATTTCCAAAAACAAATCTATCTTAGAGGGGAGTATAGCAGGGTGATAGGTAAGAGAGAGAGATCATTGATAGATGGATGCATGTATACACTGTTCAGTCACAGCTAAGGTTGGGATAGCAGAAACAATCTGGGAAACCACTTCTGCTCACCTTGGCACTGTGTCACATGAGAGAGCAGGGAAGGATTCTATACTGGAAGCTGGACTGGGATCTGGGGAAAGAGCCTTGCAGTTACCATGTCTTTCTGTTCACAGAACCCTGATATGGAGGTGGATGAGAATGGAACCCTGGACCTCAGCATGAACAAGCAAAGGCCACGCGAGGGCTGTTGCCCAATTCTAACCCCCCTGGAGCCCATGTCCCCGCAGCAGCAGGCGGTGATGAACAATCGGTGTTTCCAGCTGAGCGAGGGGGACTGCTGGGACTTGCCTGTAGACTACACCAAAATGAAGCCGCGGAGGGTAGATGAGGAGGATTCCAAAGAGATTACTGTATGTCCTTTTCATCGAACTTACCTGTGCGGATACAGAATTAGAGTTGGGGTGTCAATGGGAGACAAGGTCTTGGGCACACACTCTAAACAAAGGTGTATTTTGTCTTTAAATATGACTTTTGGCTGATGAGGGCTTAGAATACAATTCTTATGGACCTAGGGAGATTTGTGACGGACATTATTTTGGGTGGAACAGATCACAGACTCTATTAAGTGAAAAGTTTTATTTTCTAACAAGAATGTTTTATTGGAAATAATTTCTCTAAGAAAATGTATAAACATAAAACCATTGTTTTCATAAGTTACATATTGATATAATGAAGGATTTTCTTTGCAGGTAGAGAATTATAGTCAGGGTCTCAGATACTTAAGCAGTTAACTATATGCTGGTGACTAGCTAAATTTCCTAAAGCTAAGTGCAGTGTCTGTTCTCAAAAGAAATCTTACAGTAAGGGATGGAAAGATAGCACAGAGGATAAGTCACTTGCGTTACATGCAGCCAATCCCTAATCATCCTGAGTACCACATATGGTCCCCGTAGCACCAGAGCCAGGAGTAAACCCTAAGTTCTTCCTTCCCAGTGTGACCCCAACACCTCTCCCCAAATAAAAGAGAAAACTCAAATATTTTAAACAAAACATGCTTCGGGCATGAGCAAATCACTTTAGGACAGTCATCTAAGAATTTGTATAATAGAGTATTACCAGAAGCCTATTTTGATATAGTACAATTTTTACTTTTTACCAGAAGCCTATTTTGAAGTAGTACAATTTTTAAATTCAGTTTATTAAAATAGTTATAATATTCTTTAGGTTAAGAAGTACAGAAAAACTTACTCTTTATTAAGTTGACTTCTTCTCTAGTGTTCAATTCTGAAAATTATGACATTTTCTTTATTCACAGAAAAATGAAAATTCTTTTAGAACACAATAGGGAGATCACCATCAAAGTAATAGCAATGGTGTCTGCAGGAATGGGGAGGTGTGGGGGTGGGGTAAGGAAACATTGTCTATTTGTGAGAATTGGCAGGGAAGGAACCTGTTTATAAGGCCATTACATCTTAAAGCCTATTATCTTTATTCTTCAAATTGATTTAAGTATCCAGGCATTGTAAAAGAGAATAGAATCTGAGTGGCAAGCTAAATTCCAAGGATTTTTTTTCTCTCCTGCAGCGTTAAATCGGTCCTACCAAATAAGGCATGGTAGTTGAATCTCTGAATTTATTTTAATTAAAATTAAGCCCTCATAAATCGACAGGACTATTTTCATCATATGGACTGGTACAGAAGTAAAAACCACTCTCTCCTGTATTTATGAAACACATTTGCTGAACATTGCCATCTACAGGAATTTTTAGGTTACTGTAGTCAGACGCATTTACTAAAAGTATATTCTATAAAAATGAAAATGATGCATAAGACTAATTTAAAATTCTGACATTGATCTAAGTTGGTTTCCCTTTGTCTTGGGAATTAAAACATACTTGTAGAATACTCACCAATAACTAGCAAGAACATCACTGGGTATAGTTTTTGATCGGCAGGTCAGTATTGGCTAAGTATATGCATATGGGTTCAATATTTATTGAATATTGGATGAGGAAGATTAACTTAAATGTCATAGTCTCTCTAGGTGTCATAGTGAAGCCATTTATCTGCCTTTCCTGTGAGAATGTGGGCTATGGTGTCCCACTGACAGGTGACCCTAAGAGTGCAAGTCTGGAGCAGACGATAGAGTTTCTATAAACAAAGTTCAGTTTGCATTTTCTCCCTAGCACAAACCTGTGTCACAATTTGAAAGGTGTAGTTATTTGGCTGAACGCGGTGGGAAAGGCAGAGAGTACATGTCTTGATCCTTTTAGAATTGTCATCTGTGTAACCCTGAAGGTATGTTTCTCCTGCAGCCTGAAGACTTGGATCCTTTCCAGGAAGCCCTGGAAGAAAGAAGGTATCCGGGGGAGGTGACCATCCCAAGTCCCAAGCCCAAATACCCTCAGTGCAAGGAGAGCAAAAAGGACCTAATAACGTAAGCATGACGGGGAGATGAAACTGTCGCTCTTCTTAACTTCCCCTTTCTTTGGCTTATTTTGAAAACTGGTGTCTGTATATGCCTTGCCCTTTGAGCATGACATTCGCAGCCTCGAGATGTCTCAAACTGCCAGTTTCGCAGAGCAAGGAGCCAGCTGTGGGCCTGTTTGTACTAAGATGCTCTGCGGTGTGGAGGCACCATCTTCATTCAAACCCATGCATTGTGCAGCTTTTCTCCAGGGTCCTTAAACCCCTTGCAGACATTGCAGCTAAACTGGAAACAATGAAAAAAAATTTAAGTTTTTTTTTTCTTTAAAACATACTTACTATTTTGGCTGTTTCTGTTTTTTGTTTGGTGGCAGATGTCCAACACCCAGGTGTGATGGGAGTGGTCATGTGACTGGTAATTACGCCTCTCATAGAAGGTGTGACTTCATTTCCTCATGGTGGATCTGTCTTCTCAATTTATTGTTTTCAGCTTACCTCAACAATGCTGTCAGAGTAAACTGTTGGATTATGTGTCAACCCTCTTAAGTGCTCTATGTTGACCTCTCAGAGCATGCTAATTTGTGTGTTGTATAATGTCTTTTACTTTTCAATGACCTACCTAAATTTGGGAGATTCTTTATAAAAATTTAAAACAGAGTGCAAGCATCCTATTTTTGTAATTGTTCAGCAGCAGACATGATTTCTGAAATTTACATGTGGACTTCCACAGAGTGGAATTATACAAAAAGAGAGAGAGAGAAAGAGAGAAAAGTCAATATACAGCACTTACCCCATCGCTTTCTGCATTAAACCTTTTGATTTCAATGTTCTGTTGTGTTTGTTTGGGAGTTAGATGGTGGGGGTCCACTCACCGGGTCTTCTGGCCTGTCTTACAGTCTGTCGGGCTGCCCTCTGGCTGACAAAAGCATTCGAAGTATGCTGGCCACCAGCTCTCAAGAACTCAAGTAAGATTTCACAAAAATAATTCTTTAAAAGGTCAATTCACTTAGTCGTTTACCAGAAAGGCTGTGCTGTTTGCAAAGGAAACAATCTTTCAGAAACTACCCATACACACCAAAGCCTTGGTTTAGCACATAGGATGGGTCTTTGGGATTTCAGTCACTTTGGGGACCATCCGTGTTGCCTTTTCTCTCCCCACCACCCTGCTTTCTCTCAGCCTTTCTCTCTTGAGTTTCTCAAGTGTAAGTGTTTTCTCTCCAGAGATGTATTCCTATGAAATGGATGGTATAAAGTGACTCAAACTTCTAGAAAATGACTATCACTTAAAAACTAAAAAGAAATGGGGGGGGGGGGCTGGAGTGATAGCACAGCGGGTAGGGCCTTTGCCTTGCACGCCGATCCTGGTTTGATTCCCAGCATCCCATATTCCCATATTGTCCCCTGAGCACCGGCAGGAGTAATTCCTGAGTGCAGAGCCAGGAGTAACCCCTTTGCATCACCAGGTGTAACCCAAAAAGAAAAAAAATAATATATATATGGTTAAAGGCAGTAGGTAATAATGAATATTTAAGACACAGATATTTTAAAAGCACTGATGACAAAAACCTACCATGATAAGAGCTCATTTCTTGAAAACACTTGGTGACAGCTATTAGTTTTCTTTAGAACAACAAAAGCACACTCCTATGGGTGTTTAGCATTCTCCACTGACACACAAGCCCCTCCAACAATTTGGGGTCCCTCTTCTATGCCTGTAATTGTTCTATATAAGCATAAATCTGATCACCTACATATTTATGTATTCACTACCAGTCTTTTCTCTTTTATGTGTTTGTACACACACACACACACACACACACACACACACACACCATATTTAGTTCCCAGACAGAATTTGGGAGAAGTGGTACAAAGTTATAAAAATTGTACTAAAATATTTGGCACCCTAGTCAGGCAGACATTCAGGTGGGTTTAAGGAGGGAGGGCAAGAGCTGACACTTCCACAGCATGATGAAAACCAAGAGTCCTGAATACTTGTTTCTAATTACCTGGAATGTTATAAATATCAGATCAAATTACTTGACTTTCATTTTGTTTGAAAAGTATTTTATTACCAATATAGAGAAGATGCTGTTTTTAATAGGCATTTGATTCCTTTCCCCAAAATCTTTCTACTCAGTCCTATCCCGTAGCAGTAGCCACTCAGAGTTATCTCAGAGTTCAGGGTTCTGTTTCACACCATGTCATTTTTTACAGGATCCCTGTCCAAGGCCCTAGTGCCATAGATCACCTGCTCATGTTCAGTGACCTCCTGAATTAGCCTTTTCGTCACAAGACTCTTGGAGTTTTCTTCGTGGAGTTAAAACAGCTGGAGGGCATCCTCTTACTTAACAACTTGACAGTCTATAGCATCATCCACACAGTGCCTAATGGACAAAGTAGCTTGTAGAGTCTGCAAATGGACAAAATTAGCAAGAACAACTCAACTCATTTGGTTAAGGCATCCTTATTCATGGTTTGAAACTCTACTTCTCTCATGGTCAAAATGTGACTAACTGCACTTGGAACTTGGCCAACACAGCTGAACATGGCAACATGTCTTTGGCTTTCTTGAGGAACTGGGCAAAAGTTTGGCATATCTTCACTTGCAACAGGCCAGCTATATACAAGAAAATGCACTTTGTGTGGCTTCCTTCTAGTACTACTTTTAAATGGCTAGTGTCTCAAGACTCTCAGAGACCAGAGTAGTTTTCTTCAAGCTCTAGTTTTCATTGGTTTACATCCCTTGACTTTGGGCTTAGTGGCTTAACTTGATCTTAAGTTCTAGGCAGAACTGCTCCTTCTCCAGTGTTAGCACTTTCTTCTTCTCTTGCTTCGCTAGAAAGAGATGGAGGGGCGATAGTCCTCACCATCAACACCTTCTTGCAGGAAGGAATGTCCAGGTGGTTTTTCATTCCACCAGCCTCTTTTAAGAGGCGAGACTGCATCTCCCAGAGGAATATGACCATTTTTCCTAATTTGGACTGATCTGAAACCAGACTCCCTTTTCAACTTGTCTTTGAAATAAGGGGATCCCATTTTTATGAACCCCTTCTGGGAAATCTTGACAAATTTTCTAAAATACTCTGTCTTTATTAATGGAACTTTCAAATTAGGGATTTCAATTAAAGATTCAATATGAAAATCATAATATTTACATGACTGATTTTTACACTTATCTTTACAAAATACAGAAACCATAGATTACATTTTTCACCCATTTAACCCTCTAATTAACAATATACCTCCATCTATTACTTTTCCTCTAAGTCACAAAAATCTGTTGGGTAGCTTTCTTGTGCATTTGGGCATGAATTAATCTTTTTAAGATTAAACCAGCATCCACTAGAATAATTCATGCATGTTCTCTTTTCCATCATTGGTTCTTTATAAAAATAAGTTTTGGTGAGTTCCCATGGCAGCCTCTGTCCTGATTTTGATTGAAAGCACACTATTCACTGTATATTGCTTTGGTCTCAACTTTATAAAGATCCTCTAGAAAGCGGGCCTCATTTACCTCAAATTTCTTTCTCTGTATGTTTCAGCTAACTCTGGAAATGTTCCTCTTGTCACTTCTGACACTGAATTTTGATAGTTGTTTACTAACAGGATATCTTGATCACAGACAAGCAATAGGTTTGGTCATATGAACACTGGGTCTCAGATCTTTACATATCCCAACCTCTAAAATTAACTTTGCTCGGTGCCTATTCAGAGCAGCATATGCAAGGTGATCCTAAAAAAAATCAATAACTTTGTTTAATTGTGTACAATATGTAAACTGAAAATGTATTAAAATGTAATGTGTACATGAATAATGTGCAAACTCTGGAGCTCTTACTTTCACTGCTTGCTGGGAAAAACAGAGTCCTGTGGTTGTGAGTGAGTCAGGAGCAGTCCTGATCAAGTGTGGGGCCCCAAGAGGCACGTGGGGAGAGCTGTAATTAGAACCCGTGACCCACTCCCAGGACCACAGACACTTCCAAGCTGATAGTTTGTGACCTAGATATGATAAACTCACCTTTCCTTCCTGATTCACCATACCTGACATTCACAGAAACTCTGGGCAAAATAAATAAATAAATAAAAAGTGCAATTGTACAATTGTTCATTCAGTTCATCTTCTTGGTGTTAACTCTACCTAAAGGCAATCGCTGATTCTGAAGAGGAGCATCTTCCTTTTCATTCATTCATTCATTCATCATCCTGTTATTCGTCGATTGCCTTGAGCAGGCCCCAGTAATGTCTCTTTCATCCTAGCCCTGAGATTATATTCAAGGCTCTTTAGGAGAATGAGACCCATCATTGTTACTGGTATTTGGCATATTTGGTAGGCCATGGGGAGTTTGCCAGACTCTGCCCTGTGGGCAGGCTACATTCGATAGCCTGCAAGTTTGTCCAAAGTAGGAATGAGATAATAAGATGTCATAAAAAGATGTCCTGATAAGATGTTGCGCGGCTGCGAATGCGGCCACGCGGTTCCGGGAGCTGGATTTTATAGTCTCTGAGTCTTGGCCGCTGATGGGATTACACGGCACCAGGGGGCCAGGTGGTGGGTGTGACCCCCCGCCTACTGAAATTTGGAGGATCTGGGTGGAGGATGCTCAACTCCAATCAGAGTAGGCTTGGAGATCTCGGCCGCGGAACCCGCGTGGCTTTGTTCTTCTGCCAGTACCTTCATGTGTGCGGAGAGTGGTCTCGGCATGGTGGTGGCTGGTCCTGGAGGTCTTCCGCTGCCGGAGCCCTGGCACGGGGCGGGGAGGAAAGCTCATCTTCCTTTTAAAATACCAATTACAAAGACTGCCTGAATGTATCTGCTCGAAAGAACTTGAAAATTTCTGAAATCATTGTTAGCCTTTCACATTAAAAAAAAAAAAAAAACTCCCATCCACTAAGCAAAGAATTCTCTTTTATTTATTTATTTATTTATTTTTCATTTCTGATGCATGATCCGTTATAGACAGGGGTATGATGTAGGTGTTTTAGCCATTTTGGTAACCAATTTAAGCCAAATCAAAACTGATTTCAATCAGAGGCAATTAGCTCTAAATATGGGCCCCCAAATTGGTTTCCATTTATATTTGGGTGACCAAATTTAGATACCTTCTTATTATTCATATCTTTATCTTATAATAACACCATTCCTGTCATTAGTGTGGCTCCTTGTAGGAAAAGGAATTGTCGATTATTTCTCCCTCTCTACTTCCTTGAATTTCATCCTCATAGGGTTGGGCTGGGCAGACTGTTTGGTTCTCTGTTCTTTTAGAAGCTTCTTTTATACGTCATGTAGTTATTATAAATTATATTGTCATATATAATAATATCGTATCTTAAATACTTTTCACTAAAATATGGTAAAAATGTGAGTCTGAGGTGTAGCTCAATGATAGAGTATTTGCCTAGCATTTGTGAGGCCCTGGATTGCAACCTCAGCACTGCAAAACAAAACAACATTTAACCACATATGTCATAAAATCTTTTAAACTTGATCTTGTTAATTTTGTTTTGTTTGTTTTGGAGTCATACCCAGTGATGCTCAGGGTTATTCTTGACTCTACACTCAGAAATTACTCCTGGCAGGGTCCAGGAGACCATCTTGGATGATGGAATTTGAACCCAAACATGAAACCCAAGTCCCTTACCAGTACTATCTCTCCAGTTCCCTGAATATATATATTATCTTGTAAATGAACCTAAGTCAGTGAATTAAAATCTTGATCTTAAGTCAAGGCGTTACTTTTCTCTAAAGATGCTTATTTCTAAACTCGGTAGAAGTACTTTTATCTACTCTGAAAGAAATAGTGCTGATAGTCACACAGTGATGCACCTAACTTGTTTAGGGTACAAGAAGTCCATCCACTTTCCCTAGACACCTTATCTCAGACATCTTTGTCATCATAGTTCACAATAATAAATCCACACAACTCTGTGAATGACTTCACCTCAGATCTGCTTCTCTTACAGA